TTTTTTTTTATAAGTGTAATAAGTTCAAATACACTCTGAGTCATGCCTTGTTGAAGATTATGCATATTAAATAAATATTTAGCATTATGAAAAGAAAATGCTCAACTTTAATGTTAACGGCAGGTTAATTTAATTTTAAAGTGATTAAACAATAATTTATTTATTAAACATTTACATATTAATATGGATCGTTAGAATAACCGTGTTACAATAATCTGATAGGCGTCCTTAAATAAATTTAAAAGTATTTTTTATGATGTTCTTCACACTAAAGTCATTAATTTGCTTCACAATTATTTTAACTTCTACTAGCTTTCTACACAGTCTAAAAATATTTCGTTCTAAAAGTAGAAAATGTGTACTTACATAAAATCCAGTTTGTTGTTGCACAATGAATTTTTATTTGCGTGAAAATGGTTTCAATAAAAATTTGTAAAAAAAAAACTTGAAGGCACTTAATATTTGCAAAACAAAAAACCTCGAGCGCAGCGCATTTCTCACTGCCAGTTCAGAATTTACTTCTCTCATCACTCATTACAACTTCGCGGCTGGTGCTTTTCCATAGCCCACTAATAGTTGTTGCATTTCTAGCAATGCTTCACGCAATGTACACACAAACGTATCCACGTTTGAAGTGTGATTATCACGCCAACAGGTGCATGCCAAGATTATATCTTTTTCGCGTGGATTATAACAACATGCGTAACCATCGTCTGCAGCTGGGCCGTACACCATGAAGCCAAGATTGGGTGTGGCCACTTGTGAAGTAGATACACGAAAGACTAAACTCTTTACATAACCAGGCGAGTTAAAGAATTCTGGTATTGGTTTATTATTCTCAATAGCCATGAGTTTTAATCCCAACAAATGTCGATCAACACCTCTGCCTTGTAATGCTGCTGTCGTGTATGCACGATGTGCATTTATAGCGGTACGCAATAGCTCGACACGTTCCTCTGGCTCAACGCAAGCGTCTTGCATTGCTTTGGCGAATGCCAATGATTCATTGGAACACGAGCGTATGGTCTCTGTGCGTCCGTATATATAAATACGCAAATGTGCAGACTCATACTGAGCGGCTGGTACTTTATGTAGCCTAGGGAGATAAAAGGAAACAATTGACGTATAGAGCGGATTGTAGTCATGCAAATTTAATGTAATATATTTACTTGTAGTAAGCATATTGTAGTGCAATTTGTATGTAGCTATCTGGGCTGAGCTTTTGTTTCTTCAAGAAACCCTTGCCATAGTCCTTGAAATGCAAAACATTTACGTGCAAATTTTCCGCCAATTCATTGAGGTTCTTCTTAGATTTTTCAATATACTGATTCAAGGTTTTATTGGCTTTTAATTTAAGCTTTTCGGGGCAAGGATAGTTATCACGAGCGCTCTGTTCGTAGTGTTTTTCATTGCATCTGAAAAATAATGGAGTTTTATTTAATAAGTTTAGTAATAATAAAATAAAATATTCTTCAAAGAAGAAAATAGGTGTAAAAAGAAGTTGAAGTGAATAAGCAAAGGTTTGTTGGTCTTCTTTGTCCAAAATGAA